CTTCCTTCCTTCCTTCCTTCCTTCCTTCCTTCCTTCCTTCCTTCCTTCCTTCCTTCTTTCCTTCCTTCCCTCCCTCCCTCCCCCCCTCTCTCTGTGTGTATGGCATATAGAGGACTATAATATTAATTCTCTTTAATGCTTTTTAGTTGCTGAACAATTTTCTCACAATTTTAACTTCTTTAAGAATAAAACTTTAAAATTGTATATTACCTTGTCTTCTTACCTTGGTTCCCCTGACAATGAATATAGCAAAATTGCTTGTCAGCTGTACTAACTGTATAAATCCCGTAACATCTCGCTGTCTATAAAAGTTACTTCTACCTCAGTGGTGGGATTCAAATTTATTCACTACTGGTTCTGTGGGCATGGCTTGGTGGGCGTGGCAGGGGAAGGTTACTGCAAAATCCTCCGAGTTTTCTTTTGTTGGGGAAGTTTCTTGGAACCCTGACACTGGGACTCGAGAGGCAGAGAATAGACAGGGGCTGGGACAGTCAGAGGTGGTATTTACCAGTTCTCTGAACTACTCATAATTTCCACTACCGGTTCTCCAGAACTGGTCAGAACCTGCTGAATACCACCTCTGTTCTACCTATAGAAATTTAAAATAGAGCCATAACAAGACCAATGAACTGTGTTCCACATTCTGGAATTTTGCAAAGCTGGCTGATCAATGGCACGCTGCATGTAAGTTTTTTTTTATTATTGCAGGAGAAATACCTCTGGACTAATTCCCTCTACATAGGCAGAGGCTAGAATGGCAAAAGCACTGTTGCATGTCAGCAGAATCTTGTACAGTATGAAGAGAGAGTGCAACAAACATAATTCTAAATGTCAACCAAATCAGTTTTGCTACTGACCATATACTGCCAGGAATCTGCAGCAGATTTTACTACATAGAAATGGAGCTTTATGATGTACCACAGTGTCCTCCAACCTTTTGGGCACCAGAGACCAGTTCTGTGGAGAGAGGTTTCTCCGTGCATCAGAGGGGGCGTGATTTCATGTGCTGCCTCCATCCCGTGGATGTGGCTTTCCTTGTTTGCGAGGCCTGGTTTCTGGCATGCCATGGAGCAGTGCCGGTCCACGGACCGGGGGATGAGGACCCCTGATGTACCTTATGTATGTATCACATATTACTTCTTCTCAAATGCAGTTTATTTTTGACACACACTGATTCAGGGGTATCTGCCAGGAGAGGTCAAAAAACTCAAGATGGCAGCTTCAACCATGCAACTGAAGTTCCACTTGTTTTTTTTTTAGTCTGTGTTTAATTACATTGAATTTTGACTCCCTTCTTGTAGACATCCCTGTACTGATAGCATAATTGACTACCTGAAAATATTCAAAGCAAAGCAAATGACATCAGAAAAATGGCACAGGTCTTTCCCCCAAAAAATTCTTTCATCTGCTGCAAAAGTCACACAGGGTGAGTAGCAGCCTAGCCACCATTGTATCTCTTCCTACTCTTTGTGTTTCTACCAGCTCCTTTCCTATTTCATCGTTGATTTGAGGGTGTGGTTTTTTTAAGCACATCTTTGGTGCTCAGAGAACTTGTTCAGTGGAATGCTAAGCCCACAAAGCGTTGCTAAGGTACTGGTGTTTTTATTTTTTGTAAGCTGCCTAGAGTCTCTGAAAGTGAGTGGAAAGACATATAAATTTCCCAAATAAAAAAGAAATTAAAGTGAAAGGCTTCTTACTGAAACCCGTGACCTTTCTTTTCTTTGAGCTTCCTTATTTGGCTATTTTGTCAATATACATATATACAGTAGTGGGTTCCGGATGCCGTTGCAACCGGTACGCACACGCATGCATCTTACCTTCCAGCGGCGCCTCCGTGATGCTCCAGCTGCTCAGCAGAGCATTGTCCATGCACTGTATGTGCCATGTGCTGTATGTGCCGTGAGCTGTATGCACCATGCATTGTACATGCCATGCGCTGTATGCATCATGCGCATGCACATTAAAGATTTTAAAGACAGGTAAGGAGCGCAGGCAGGCAGGTGGGCCCTCTGGAGCACCGTACCGGAACGGTTCCCAGTGCTCCGGGCAGGCTCCAGTACGCCTGTACTGGGGCGTACTGCTGCAACCCACCACTGATCAAAATTCTGCCACATAGGTTTTTCCAAACCCTTAGTGGCTCACAGCTCAATTCTTTCCTACTGTTCCGAAATAAACTGGAAAGATCAAGCAAGAGGTTGTCAACATGTACATGATAGGACATGGACATTGTTTCAGAGAGTGCTTCCAATTGTATATGCAGGACATAATTTAGATCGACTTTGTTTATATTTCAGAATTCCTGCCACAAAGAAAAGGGGGTCAGATTATTTTCCAAAGCACCTGAAGGCAGGACAAGAAACAATGGTTGAAAACTAATCAAAGAGAAGCAACCTGGAATTGAGGAGAAACTCCCTAACAGTGAAGACAATTAAGCAGTGGAACAGCTTGCCTTTAGAAATCATGGTTGCTCCATCACTGGAGGTTTTTAAGAAGAGACTAGACAGTCACTTATCTGAAATGGTATAGGTTCTCCTCAGGGCTGGGATTCAGCCGGTTTGGACCAGTTGGGGTGACCCAGTAGCTTCGACACCAGCTGGGGGCAAACCAGTTCGCTCCGATGATCAGGTAGGCCCACCCCTGCACTTTACTTACCTGTACACTCTGCTGATTTGCGCTGCAGACCGGATCGCCGTGCCCCAGCTGTGTTACTCCCCAGAAGTAACGTAATGTGTCAGGTGCGGGTGTGTATGGAGCATGTGCACAAAACACGCAATCACTGAACCGGTTGTTAAACCAGCAGGATCCCACCACTNTTGCATTTTACATGCTTTCGAACTGCTAGATTGGCAGAAGCTGGGACAAGTAACGGGAGCTCCCTCTATTACGTGGAGCTAGGGATTCGAACTACCCAGCTGCCAACCTTTCTAATCGACAAGCTCAGCATCTTAGCCACTGAGTCACAGTGTTCCTCCATAAAATTATACCTGCATAAATTTTATGTTTTTAAGATTATGCCATAATTGGCAATTTCCACATATACTCGGTTTCTATCTGCCAGTTAGTCCTTCAGTACTTCATTCTTTTTGTTCTGGCTAGTTCTGTCATATTATTCAGTAAATGTGTAAACATTCTTGCATTAATCTTATCTTTAAAATGTTTTCTCTGCAGCTAGTTTTTTCAG